ATTTGTGCGAAGTACTAGTACTGTTTACCGATTGCAGTAGCGTGTGCTTATACAGTAAGCTGCTTAATCTAAACATTAGGAATACAGGTATCTATTTTATTTTTGCAGACATCTGTATATACCGCCAATCTATGCAGTAAACTGTTTTGAGTGATTAATTTCATTTGATAAACAGTATATCAGAACTATTTGTATTGAATACAGTCAAGTTGTGTTGTGGTCGCGGAGGGTGAGAGCTGAGGTTAGGACTATGAATTATAAACATTAGGTACGTCATTACGTAAAAATTAACATGTCAGCATCTGGTGAATGTACTACCGAAAGGTATTGTGCTAGGTGCACTCAATTGTTGTGTTTTTTCCATGTGAACAGGAGCAACAGATGAGTTGACTGAACGAAGCGCTAGATCTTTTGAAATGAGGGCCATTAAGTCTTAAGATAAACTTTAGCGATCTGGTTGAGACCTTAACAGCATATGCCAGTAATATAGGAAAGATCATAATAAAAGATAGGACCAGACGCTCAGAAACGAAGTCCATGGTCGTCGCCTCCTTGAAGACTTGCAAGTTACTGATTTTTTTCGCGTAGAATGACGGCCCAGCAGACCGATTAATTCATTCGCGAATATGTCAGTTCAAATTCAAGTCTACTAATACTGTGATTCTCGAGTACCCGATGTACTGTACCATTTTCAGTGGTATGTCACAGATGTCCACAGAGATTAGTAACTACAAGGTTCTTGGTATTGCGCATTGATCGGATTATCTCGCAAGTGAAAACGTTTAAGCTTCGCCGTCGTTGCGATTAGGGAGTATGTACTCCATGGTATTTCGATTTCCATATCAAGAATACGATCATGTACTTAAGTTCTTGCTTGCTTTTCTCTGTTTACATATTTGAAGAAGTACTGAAGAAAATACGTGTTAAAGGTAGAGAAGATTTTTCATGGACTTCGTTGCACAAAGCAAGAAACAAAAACGTTTTGATAATGGACATGATCTGAGTGCGACGCATCGGTAGCCATTATTAACAAGATCAAAGTGGTGTTGCAACGTTTTTGCCTGTCGACGATGTCATTTGCCATCAGGAACTAGACTAGATGTCGTCAACTTAGTGGGAACAAATGACTAGTACTGTCGCGCATGTTGGTAGACGGACATTACGGATTCATGGCTTTTGTCGAAATACGTCATGCTGATGGCATAACTTGTATAAATCAGTCTCAAAAACCGATATTCATGTCTGACTAGTGATTTCTAACCGTAGCTAAAAAGCTGAAGTGCTGATCAAGTCTGAATTCAACATTGTTGGAGTTTGTTGAGTGACTGATGCCATCGCCTAGCCTAATCGTATCCCCCACTTGACTCTCTAATAGGATAACGTTTCACTGTGTAACCGAGGATTAAATATTGTATTAATCCGCAGAATGAAAGCAAGACGACGAAAAACGATTAATTCAAGGAATAAAGAAGTGATATCAACATAAGTATGCTTGAAATTTTTAGGATAGTGTAATAGACTTTTTATTGAGAAATTGATTACTTATATATGTGAATTAAGTTCGATTCCTTATACATAATTCAATTAATTTCCCAGCATCATTCATGATGTCTGTGCCCACTTATAAGGTTCTCCAAGCCTCCGGAGGCCAGGGGACGCTGCATTTACGATTAGGCTGTGTTATTTGTACAACGTCACGTATGGTGAGTTTGTTATCATGTTGGAGCGCTTTTGTCACTGTTTATTGATTTACTTGACTGTAGCGTTTTTAAATCGCTTCATTTATGCATATCTATTTATGATGTACTGTTGACGCCACTGTACATTAATTATGCCGCGATCATGACCATTAGGTTTAAAAGCAATGACTGCTTGAAATTGTCAATATTGTTTTCAACTGTACCGTATCGTCCAGCAGTGGAGGCTTGAGATTATAAAGGGAGTCGTTCAGACGTCAGGCCGATATGTTTAGATCCAGTATCCGATTAGAACAACCTGTGCGGGGTAAGGATCCTGCATAGAAGCGGCAGAAGCAACGAAGCATAACTTTTGGTGACTGGAAGGCCTGCTGTTTGACTGAAAGGGAAACAGCAGTCATTTGAAGAAACAGCTTATTTCATGTTTTGTTTATGGTAACTTAGTAGACAAATTTCTGTCCCTCCAATCGGTTATCACTAGTCTGAATCTTGTACTCACCGCTCGCCCATTCTGAATGCCTGAAAACATTCGCGTTCATATTAATCGTTTCTAGAAGTTCGTGGAGCAAAGGTTTCTTTCAAACCAAACCTTGTCCTTATTGTTTGTTGACGACAGTGACAATAAGGATCGAAGGTGAAGTGGGAGTGTTGCTTATGTATGAATTTATGGAAAAATCTGAGATGATGAGGAGGGAAAAATGAGTAGGAGGAGAAACGTAATCGAATCAACGAAGAATAAAGGAATTGAAGCAATCTATTCTAAATTGGACAGTGATGTAGTGGAAACGTTTTTAGTTGTGTATGCCAGAGGCGCTAATTCAAGTGAAAGTGCGACTTTGGTTTTATTTATTGAACATTCATTCCCTTAAACGAAGATTTCAACTCCAGCGGCACCAGTTGAGAAGCGAGTAACAAATTGAAGATTTGCAAACACGTGGACAGCATATTTTTTTCTGACCATCTTATCACCTTATGAAGCATAAGGCCGTCTGTGGTGTTCTTCAAGCCACCTAATAACTTACTTATTCACAACAAGGTATAAATGGTATGAAACTTTTAACCGTAGACTGTAATCACTTTTTCCAGTTCAGTGTTTAATCGTACAACATGGGCAAACACTGCAATAAAAGCGAGGTTTTCAAAAACACCCGTCTCTGAATTCATCACAAATGTCATAGTGTTTTATCCTCTACTCCACTGGTTGTTTATTTCCCGCTATCAGAATAGAAGCGTTGTCACTTTGATTGCTATTCAGTCTCTACTAAACAGTCAGAACTGCAGAAGGTCCCGAATCCCAAGTTTTTACAAGGTTTTGAATCGGGTGTTGATTGCCCGATGTAGGGTGGCGTTTTCTGACCGGACGAGTTGTTTGATGTAGTTGGAGGTTGATTAGTTCTTACAGGTGCTGTAGTTTAAATTAGTTATGGTTAAATATGGTTATTAGTTATGATACTGTAGTTAAATTGGTTCGCCATTCCGTTGAGTTACAGAAATTCTGGTTTATTTCTCAGAAGACACTCCCGTTTAGGATAGTAACTTTTTCATCGTTTTCTTTTTTTAGATCAGATCGAATAATGACTACTTTCGCAATGATGAGCAGTAACAGTACTCGACTGCTGACAT